GGACTCCTGTCAGATGGACTGGGATATTGCCTTGTCCTCCCATGGCCATGTTTTGAGAGAAAAGGCTGAGGTTCAGTTGTTCTGAGGAAACAGTGATAGCGATACCTGCCATGCCTACCAAAACAAAAATCACACCTTTTCCTCCAGTAGTTTCACTTAAAAATTGAGGTCGTCTTCATTTCAGGTTATTATGATAAATACAGGCCTGAGTTTTGGGCATTTTAATCCTAGATAGGAGACCCTGTATTCTACGTAAGGTGAAATTCAAGAAAACTCAATATATGGGTGATGTCCCGTTGGGCTAAGTTTAGCACATGCATGCTACTTGCTGGCCTCAGAAACTATTTCACCATCAGACTGGATATTTAGGCATGTTTTTACTCTACCCTTGTATGGAATGGGGACCTTAGGCTCTCCTCATCCAAGGACATTCTGCAATGAAGTATTAGAAACAGGGGCGCATTGGGTTAAGCTTTTATGCGCTAAATGTACATATTACCAGAACTTTTCTTCCTAAAGCACATAAAGAAAATGTAGCACCATTATGCAAATGATGGATTATTTTAAAATATTGACAAAATGCACACAAAGCTTTTGGTTCCCACATGGGTAGAAGAGCAAACAGTTTCAGTTATACGTTATTTAACTTGCCTAACCCCTAGTTCCTCTGTGGGGAAACCATACAGTCTCTGTAGATTAGATCATGCTACCTTCCCTGCACAAATAACACCCTACTTGCAACAAAATTGGTGAAAATGCTATGAAACTGGTAGACACATTGCACTGTAATTTCTTCAGAGGAATAATAATAAACAGTAGTGAAATATATTCTGTTGACCACTATAGGATATAGATATGCAGGTAATATAGGATAATAATTGTGGGAACATGATAATATTTATTTAAAAAAACAACAAACAAACTAGAGTCAAAGAAAGCATGTGCTCCATGTAATGAAATTATTATCTATACAGCCATCTATACATCTCAAGCTTCCTAAATTTCATCAGAACTGTCAGATTGACAGTTAAACTAAATCACACACAAAACATACATGTTACTGTGTGGAAAAAGGCAGGACAGTGGCCTTTGGCTCTAGTAATACCTTTTTGTTAGAGGCAGGCATGATGATATTATCACAGATGATGCTAACAAACACTTTGGAAAGTATTTTTTCTTCCTCTCATTGCCTGTAACTACTGTGAGAAATATCTATTTTACTTTTCACATAATTCAGAATTGAGGGGAAAGGAAAGGAAGAGAACTGGATGTTGTCCAAATGCATTCAATAGTTCACTTGAAATTTAACTAAGGGTCACTTATGAAACAGACTGGATGAATACTAGAGGATAATTGCTGAGCAGGCTGGACCTCATAAAAGAATAGTCTGAATTCCAGTGCAGTTTGCAAGTCTTGTCTACTGTGTTTTTCTACCGTGACAATTAATCTGGGAAGTATTATGTTGCACCTATAAAAACCTGAAGACGGAAGATAGCCTGTTTCCAGCTCCCAGGAACTGTTCACAATAACAAGGCCTTAAACAGACTAAACTTTACATTTTTTGTTCACTGACACCGAGAACAAAGTGAGCTAATCTCTAGGGGGAGAGAGCTTTACAAGTGCTTCCTTATTCCTGCCACAGAGACACATCTCTACTGCCCCATGGGGCAGAGGACTCACCTGGCCACCAGATGATCAAATCCTCGCATCACCATATTCCATGGAGGATGCTTGGAGGATGTATGCAGTCCAAAAATTCACAGTCAAGGACTCAACCACGACATAGTCGAACAGCAGGGAACCCATGTAATCTCCAGGGTCGTTAAGGCCAAATTGCCTCAATGAGAGCTCTCACAGGACTTCTTAGAAAATTAACACCTTTTGGTTCTGACAAGTCAGACCTCTGTCAGGCTTGATACTGGCAACGATGGGTCGAAATGACAGATTGAGATAGCTCGGAAAAGACATTTATCCTGATTAGATTTCGGGAATTTAAAGCTATCACTGTGGAACCCAACTCAGCTTCTGCAACATTTAGTGACAGGTAATGTCTGTGCTCATTGAAGGTGTTTACAACTCCTGCACAGGTGACATTATGCTTTGTAGCACGATTTCTTAAAAGCCCTTACAGATTATGATCAAAAGCACGTGGATATTTTAATCCAGAATCAGCAAATCTCCCTCTAAAAATCTTTTTGCATGGGAATTACTTCCTAGTATGAATGATGATGATGATACTTTGAATTGCCATGACTCGTTTCATAACAAGGAGGAACTGCCAACACACTCTTAGACTATCAATAGTTTCTAATTTATCTCTAAACAAGTTATGACACCAGAAGAGGAGGAAGTGACAGTGTTTGAATTCTGACTGGATTCTTCCTTCATGAGGAACTTGAGTAAAACTACTGTCTTTTCAGAGAGCCTCTTTTGGTGTCAAAAATAACATCCAAATGAATGCCACTCCAGAATGAAGACAATAATTGTTTTAGAGACCTGTATGGCAACAGGCATATATAATTTAGATTTTAACTACACATAAACAGTTACATACAGCTGAGTGTATGTGGCTGACAAATTATTTGCAAATATTGTCCTGTTGATGCAGGGACACAAAGTTCAAGGTGGCCTCAGTTAATAAACAAAGACGGAGAATGTCCCTCACACATTTATCCCATGTCTAAAACCCAAGCCATTTAGAATAAGACATCTGGATGTTCAAAAATTAGCATGACGGTATTCGGAGCCCATCAAAACATGCAGCCACGGCTTGGCGTCTAGTAGCTAAGCAACGTCTTCGTACATTCAAAACATAGTTGTAAAAGTTGGATCCTCCTGCCAACTGCTGCCACTCTCATTGAAAAGCTAAACTGGAAAAAATCTCTCTTTAGTTCAAAGCAGGGCTGTTTTCTCTGGGAGACATCTCTACTGCTTTTTCATCCTTTAACCCTTTTCATGTTTATATTTCAAGAGAAGCAAATAGCTTCATGTTGAGATTTCACGTGCAAGCATATAATAATCATGTGGATGCACACGTAGCTCCCTGCAAAGACCATCATGAACACATTGTAGCAAGAAACTAGTGTTGTTGTTACTGGGTCAAATGCCGAAATTTAATGCCAAACAATGTGTGTGTGCACACAGCAAATCATTAAAGCCGATTAAGTTACACAGAACTGCACTGAGGAGTTAATCCTATAGCTAAACATGTTAAAATGTAAACCAAGAAAACAGAAGCCTGTGCTTTCCTCTGGAAAGCATTTACATGCCTAAGTAACAGTCTAAGCAGTATCTGCATCTTAAGAGTGGAAGGAGACCACAGGAACCGTGACATTTTGTCTAGTTTAGGTACTACTTACATCTGAAAGAAGTAACTCTACACATAGAAGAAGCAGAGCTCAGGAGTCTTTGAAAGTGGATTACTGATTAGCACCACACTCTTATTCTGGCAGGAGGGCATCCATGCAAAGAATTACAGATAAACATCTGTAAAGCAAGTGCACCTTAAATTCACATCCTATCTCAATCCAAATTAACTTCATAATTGATGTTAAGATTCACAGTCTGCTACCCTACGAGTTTCTAAATTGTAATAAATCCCAGGGAAATAAATGGGAACACTGGCAGAGAAAAACACTCTTTAGTGAAAAGTAATGGATTCTGGCCCAGGCTTAGTTAATAAGCCATTAGAAAGGAAGTTTATAGGAAAAAAAGCAAGAGCATTCTGCCCCAGCCTAGGTAGCCTGCTTTCATTTAGATTATAATGATAAAAAAATGAAAGCTTGCAAATTGGCTTTAAACTGCTAAAAAAAGCTCCTGCTGTACAAGTGATGCCTGACTGACACAGAACCTAATGTTTCAACTATTTACAGCTATAAAAGCAAGCCAGGCTCTTTTTTTTTCCCCCCCTTCTGGAGCAACTCCTTCCACAAACTATCCAAAGCATCCTTTTTGGCAGGCTCCTACGATGTAGAAAAGCAGGAGAACTGAAATGAACGGAAAGTCATGCAGTTATTTTTTTCGTACTTGGGGAAGAGAAAAAAAGAAAACACCAAACCCAAACCGCTGAAGGGATACTCTTACAGAAGAACTTCATTGCATAAACTCAGCCACATGTCTACTAGAGCAATGTCCCTTAATGACCTCTGGCAATGCAATTAATTAACAGCCGGGCAGGGAGAAAGTCACAGCTCTGCATGGGTAAGACTGGCCAGATCCAACCCACAGCTGATCAGGACACCCATTTTTCACTTGGGGGAATAAGAAAGAGACTGCATCCCCTTACCAGCAGCCCAACTCACTCAACTTCTCCAGCTCTGTTTACCTGCGGTTTGCATTTGCGTCCTACCCTTGAACCACAAGCACTGGCAGCTTCCAGTGTGGTGGAGCTGTTCTCGCTGGAAATAGCACCCCAGCACATTCGAGGAGGAAGTCGCGTGTACTTTTAAGGTGTTTTCCACCATTTTCACTAGCAGGTTTGTTTGGGGACTAATTTAGGCCAGGCAACGCTATCAGCTCTTTGTCTGGACCACCTTCCCAGGCAGAGAGGAGCTGTGTGTGAAACATCCCTCTGGGGAAGATGGAACAAGATCATCTCTCAAGAAGAGATAAGTCAGGCGACCCCAGACAAGTACCCCAGTCGGGAAAATTACCACCCTTCCACCCTGGCAGGAGTCCCAGCACCGCATTGGCACAAATGACTGTGTACTGTGGTACATCAGTGGGGATGACCTCGCAGGAGAGGGGGCACACACAAATAGGTACACAACTTGTTGTGTTTTCAACCCCTCTTCCACTCCTGGCAGCTGCGTGCTTGGGTGCCAGACCCTGAGATGCAGTGCAACTGGATGGAAAGGCAGAAAGTGTGAGGCGTGAGACATCTGTCAGACAAAGCAGGGAAACGTGGCTAGAGCTGCCAGGGCGGCCTCACGGCAGCCCCATCACCCCATGACACACCATTCGAGGGACACCAAGTCGCCGTCGGTCCAGGTGATGCCTACCTCGCGGGTGAAGAGGATGGCAGCGTCGTAGTGCTCCTCGTGGTCATCGTCGAGGCGGGTGTGCTGATGGTGGCCCCTGCAGC